AATCATCAACTTTTACTGACAAACTTAAACTAGCTCAAAAAATACATTTATTGGCACAGTGCCTATGTAGGCAAGTCATATTTAAATAATGGTTTTAAACTAAAAGAAGGCAGATTTAGACGAGATATAAGAAGGAAATCTTTTACAATGAGAGCAGTGAAAAACTGGGAGCTTCCCATCTTTAAAGTTCTCTATGTGTTAGAAACGTGATTTGACAGGGCACTAGCGCCCTAAGTAGGGCCCCACTCCTAGCTAGCATTAGTGGAAAGAAAGGTAGGAACATTTAGCCACAGGTTCTTTGTTTCTCACATCACAATAAGATACTTTCCCATAATTTTAATCCCTTGCAGTTGCTTCATAGATCTTCTTGCTTAATGGAGCAAAGCTGCTACTTAACAGAGCTACTCCTTAACTCAAGATATTTTAATTATTCTTTCCTTTGCTTTTAAGGGAAAAAGTTCAAACTGAACTATTCAACTTGACCCTCCCTAGTGTCCCTTCAAAGTGCTGACTGATCACCTGTGAAAACAAACAGAGAAATAATTTGAAATAGGTACTTTTTATTTTAGAAACTCTAAAGGCTGTAATTGCACAACAGCAAAAAACAGGAAAACTGACAACTAATTCCTAAGTACACACTTTTACAGGAATATCCACTTCAATCCACCTGGAAGCTGAAGTGTAGCAGAAAGAGACATAAGGAACTTCCACTATTTTGAAAATTCGTATATGCATGGTTGTCAAAACATACTGAAACTATTGACTAAGACTTCCCAATTTTATGGACAAATTATTACATTTCATTAATAGAAACTGAAGACAAAATAGATACTATTTGTTTAAAGTGGAAATGCACTGTAAACAGATTCCATGCTTCAAACCTTAAACCACAAAAACTATGCACTTGCATTCCTGACATCGTTATGAGTGCACCTTAAAACTTCTCCCCATATCATAAGGAGAAACTGGAAGTCGTGTAACATCTGGTCTTCCTTTCTTCAGTACTACACCCCCAGTACTACCAATGTTAAGCTCAAGAAAGACACTGGTGGAGCATACGAAAAGCTGAAAGCAAGAAGAGTGACAGAACATGCAAAAGGATCTGCTGCTTTTGCTAATGTTCTCCAAGGTCAGAAATCAAAATGCCACTGAACAACATCACAGAATCACACAGAATCACAGAATGTTGGAGGTTGGAAGGGTCCTCGAAAGATCATCTATTCCAACCCCTCTGCCAGAGCAGGACCACCTAGAGCAGGTCACACAGGAACGCGTCCAGGTGGGTTTTGAATGTCTCCAGAGAAGGAGACTCCACAACATCTCTGGGCAGCCAGTTCTGACAGCCCCACAGTGAAAAAGTTTTTCCTTATATTTTTCCTTATGTTAATTACTGATTCTACTTTGGAAGTACATTTCCTTCAGAAAGCTCCAGATCTCCCAGCAGTATTCCTCACAATTGTCTTGGATCACAAGAGCTGCTGAGAGTACATTCTGTAATGTTTACAGAAGGTAGCTTACATTTTATTTTAACAACCTGTTTATTGCAAATGATATCTAAGTTACACTTTCAAAAATCCAGGTGAATTTCTACAATTCAAGGTAACTCTTATTCTAGAGATGAAATTAAACTCTACAGCTTCAAATGAAGGATAAGCCAGAAGACTGACTTATGCAGAGAACCAAATTAAAACCTGATGCCAACACTGCAA